ATACTGCATAGAAATTTCCTGTCAGCGCGTTATTTGAGCGGACTTTGCTTTTCCGATGAGCATGAGCGAGCGGAACGCACATTCATAGATCGGAATATTGAGCGGAGCGTCAAACCGCGTAGTGACGAGGAGAGTGAAACATGCGTGCTGAACACTGCCGGGCCGGCGTGACATTATTATTATTATTATTATACATAGCCTATATTTTCGGTGCATCCCTACTTACATCCCCTCCTTGTTTACAAATCCGAACTAAGTCCATACATCCGATTTAAACGCGGACGGGGCTTTCCTGATAACTTTCCACAATGCCGCCCTCTTTGTTTTATTAACTTACTGCATGCTGAAGGTGACCCAGCTGACCTCACCAGAAAAAACTCAACACCACCATCTAGTGGATTGTAAAGAATTGATTTTATTATTCTACCAAATAGTATAATAAAAGATCGATACTTGGCGTCCGTGTATCGATACAGTATTGCCGCGTAAAATATCGCGATACTATGCTGTATCGATTTTTTCCCTCACCCCTATGCTCCACCATAACCCAACCCACCGCACAACCCTACACTTTAGCTCAGACCACTACAACCCAACACAAAAGCTACCAGATGACCCGGAATAATAGCTGAACATCCCAAAAACATTCTTAACACACCACCACAACTCAACACTGCATCTCAGCACCCATGACCCAGCACATAAGGTCAGCACATCACCACACCTTCAACATAGCAGCTCAAAAAAACAACACAACCTAATACTATAGCTCAGTGGTTCCCAATCCTGGTCCTGGAGAACCCCCTACACTGCACGTTTTTGGTGTCTCTCTTATCTGACACACACATTTGAGGTCTTGGAGTCGCATTGTAGATTCTAAGGTTTATGTAAACTTATCGTTACATTATCCATTTTTTTCTCAGATTTCCTTTAACATCCTGCAGTTATAACTCATATCATCATAGAGACAATTAAAAGTGTGTGTGTGTGAGAATTCTCAAACTCATTGAAACATTTTTTAAACACGACATGCATGAGATTTTTTTTGACTGATTAGTGAACAAACGTTTCAAGTGCATGTTCTCAAAAGCTCTTGTAAGGCTTTGCATTTCTCATGCATTCATTAGAATTTCACTTAAGGGCTAACCTAAAGTAAAGCCTCTGATCATTTTCCCATTAGTTTGTTTGTTTTCGTAGCTGGGAGTGCATAAAACATGTTTTCTGTTCCTGCCGTGTCTGGCGATGACTGCAGAGCTTCAGAAACTTTCCCACATGTTTTACCTTTGTTTAAAATGATGAACCCCACCAGCGTGCTCGCCATTATTTCAGTCTATGTCTTTCCGAGCTGTCATCCCGACTGAACTCCCCCCGATGACATCAGCTCTTAACGCTGCACGTGTCCTTGGCCACTGCAGCGATGGAGCGCCTCCACCGTAGACGGATGAGTCGGATTTTGATTGACGTGCGGATGCTGTCAGTCACAGCCTGGCTCACTGTGTAGCAAACAGTGGTAAACTGTTCCAGACATCTAACTCTGCCCAGATGGAAATGTTTTAAAGAACTAAAAAGAGGAACTAACTGCCCAGCCACAGATTACTCAGAGCGCGTCTGCTGTTCGTTTGTGGTGGTAATTTGTTTTAGCTTTTTTTTACCTCATTGTGAATGTGGTGTTTGTTTCTGAGCAGTGTGTGTATGTACAACTTGTTGTCTGTGCAGATTGAGGAGATTGGAAGCCGAATCTGATTTGTGTGTCTGTTTCACCTTTTTGACTCACTGCTGTGATGTTCCTGATAATTCTTAAGCACACATACACACACATACAGACAGAAACACACACAAAGGCTGTGAGAAAACTGGAGCAGGCTGGTTTTCTGCACAAGACAGCATGTGTGCTTGGAACAACGTCCCACACACCCTGGGTTTTAAAGCCTTACTGCAATTCCAACAGGTTTAGCAGGAAAAAAGACGGAACCGGGTGCAAGTATGAGCATTCACACATTCATGTGTTTTTGCTTTACTTGTGTGGGCATGTGAAAAGTGGTTGTCAGTGTCTTTGTGTACGTAGGCTATGCGTGCGTTTTTCTTACTTAAAACCATTGGCAGCCACAGGTTGGGTGTAAACACACTAAACACTGCATTACTCCAGCCACAATGCTGAAACCTGTTGCCGTTGACTCGTCCCCTTGAGGCCGAAGCTAAATATTAAGTGTAATTTAGGACATTTACCTCAGTTTTGTTTCTGTTTAGTGACCAAATATGCCATTAAAACACTTTCCTCTCTGTTTCTTTTTCCGGTCTCCTACAGGAGGACAAGCAGTGATGTCACACAGCTGAGGACACTCCCACTCAGTGAGTATTTGTACCATAATGCTTAATAGCCAGTTGTCATCACTTTTTTTTTTTAAACCTTCCTTCTGTGTCTTTGCATTTGTTGCAAGACCAGTTTTCCAGTTTTGAAGCCATTTGTCACGGTTATGCACCTCTGTGTTTGTTTCGGGTAATTGGACGCTGTAACCGAAAAGGGTGAACACAGATTCAGCCGATTTAAACCTAATTTAATTTAGTTCTTAGGATGTGAGCCTCTCTTCTCACCCCTCTCCCTCCCAATTAGCTGAAACAAAGCTCTCCAAAGGCAATTGTTAGGTTGACATTTCTTAAGCATGCTTTGTGTTTGTTTTTGTTTTTTTGTATTTGTAAAGATCTTTAATTTGGCAATTCATTTTCACAGCCGAGTCTCTCGAACGATCCGCTGCGGTGGAGAGAGTTTGTGCTTTGGAACAAACAAATCAGCCAGTTTCTCTCTCTCCCTGTGTGTGCTCAGGCTAATTGGTAGCGCGGATGCTGGTCGCGGTGTTAGCGGTGATGCTAGGCGGGCGGCAACCTCGCAGGGCTCTCTGCTCGGCTGCATCGTTTCATTCCCCAGCTCCCTGGTGGTTTCAGAGAGTGACAGAAATACAAGGACAGTTCTTTCCACTCTCTCGTCGTCTCCTTCTCCCTCTCCCTCTCCCTCTCCTTCTCTCTGTCTATACCACTAACAAGTGACAATGTAGAGTTTGAGTTCTGGAGTGCTTAAAGACTGAGAAACGGACTGCAGCTGCCTCAGGTGAACATGCAGCTGTGTGTAGACCAAGTGCTTCCTCAGATGTGCATATGTGAGAGAGAAAGTGTATGTGTCTGTGTGGTGGCTTACAGATGACTTTTATTAGAAAAGTGCTCCATTCACACTCCAGAGGAAATGATATATATGGAAAGAAATATAAGGATGGCAAGAAAGACAGAATGGAATAGGGAAAAACAGAGACAGACAAAGACAGCGAGACAAAGACGGCCTCTCAGCTCCTCAGCTACACATCACTGCGGCCTCTCGCATTGGCAGCAGTCACTGCCACCATCTCAGCCATCAATAATGGTAATAGAAGCTCCATCCGAGCATTGATTTCTGGGAATTGTAGGAAGGCGTGAAGGGTCATCCGTGCTCAACGGCTCTGCTCGTTTAGTGACATTCCTGTATGTCTGACTCACAAGGCAATCATGCTTTGGAGGCAGCACCATGCATGTCCTTTTAATGCCAAAGCATTGCCTTAGAAAAAAAAAATTGGAGAAAAACTTGTTTTTGGGGCTGTCAGTTTAACACCTTCATTTACTACAATTAATTACAAAAAATAAGGTGTTAAAGGAATTGACACATTTAATCATGCCCGCTGACTTACAGGCTACGTGCTTCATCAAATTGCATTTGCTGAGAGCAGGCAGCAATGAATAACAACTATGGAACAGAGATACGTCTGTAGCAGTGTTGTTATAATTAACTAAAACTATTACAAATTTTTTCGGTAATTGAAGTTAAACTTAAATAATAATAATAGTAATAATAAAAAAGATCAGATGAAAAACCTAAACAAAAAATGAAAAATAACTTAAGTAAATAAGTTTAATTTGAAGTACTTAAATTACTAAAACTAACAATAAATTAATGCTAAACAGAAATATATAATATATACCAAAATAACACTGGTCTTTAAAAGTCCTTAAGTCTACCTCGGAAAGATAGGTGACTCAATTACAGAATCCACTTTTTGTAATGTCTATTTATCTCCCACAGTAATGTTACATGTTTAATTTATTTTAATTTGGTAACTTTTCCCAGCAAATACTGATATATGCAGTTAATTAATTTTAATTTATTATCTACATAACATGAACTCAATTCACTTACAATTTTTAATGGATTTTATGCTTGGTTTTTCTTCAGAATGTTAGAACCAGCATTGCAAAGTAAGGATATACAGGTTCCTGTAGCTTAAACAGTATATGCATTGCAACACCAATGTCATGGTTTTAATTCATGAACTGATCAAATTCATGAAAAGAGAAAAATAATAAGTTCAAATAAGCAATATAAGTTGCTTAGGAAAAATCTCTGCCAAGTTCATAAAAGTAAATATAATGTTAACTGATATTAGAAACTAAACAAAAGCATATACTGCAAGGGTCATAGGGATGAACTTTCCTTTCTCATGAAAAAAGAAAGGAAGGGATAAAACAAAACACTGCTTGGACACCCAGAGGGAATTACAAAAGTTTATGGATGGAGAGAATATCAACCTTGAGTTGAAATTGTAAAGTAAAATCAGGTCTGTCAGGACATATCGAGGAAAAACATACTCCTCTATCCTTTTCATTTTGAAATATAAGTTGTAGTCACTAAAAATGCTGGAGACTATATGGAAGAGAGAGAACTGAGCTCTTGCAATCTTGCACAGGGGCAAACCAGCTATTTATTAGCGCACATGTTAAACCCTCTCTCTTCAAAGCAAACTTTCCTCCCAGCCTCCCACAGAGGGGGAAAGAGAATAATAAAGCAGAGGAAATGGCATTTCTCTGCACAAAAGTGGATATGAGTGTGTTCAGTGTAACCAACTACTCTTTATTTCGAGTAGAGCAAGAAACGGAAAATAAAAGCAAGGGAAGACAAAAGAGGGCGGTGAAAGGGAAAAAAAGAGGCAAGAGAGTGTGTTTGAGCATAGATCTTGGCCAGGCAGTGTCAGGCTCCTGGCCTCTCTCTTTCTCTTTCCTGCGTCCCTGGGGACGGCTCATAGCTCATACTTCCTGCTGGAGAGATCTTGAGCAGGAATCATGGTAGAGGGGTCTGTTTTCATTGCTGGTGCTGTGCAGTAGGAGTGTGTCTGTACTTGTGCGTCAGAGGCAAAACATACCAGTTGTTTGATACAAATAATGCAGGCCTGCTGGATTCTGTGCATGTGTGTATGTGTGTGTGTGTGTGTGTGTGTGTGTGTGTGTGAAAGGTATAATGGACCCCTGCCTGAACTCTGCTGGGCTCTCCAGATCCCTGGTGAGAGTTATTACCTCAGTACAAAATGCTGGACACACACACATATGCACACGCACAGTGAAGGTGAGAGTTTGAAATGGGGTGCCTCAAGTGTCTGTCATTGACCCTTTTTGTTTTCTCTCTCTCTCTCTCTCTAATTGCCCTCTACTTGCCGTTTGTGATTTTACTGTTCCTTCTTGCCTTAAATATTTATGCCCGGCCAAGGTAAGAGGCTATGCTGATTCTGACTGTACTGGAGGATACAGCAATAAATACCGAATCTTCCATAGAGAGAAAGAATGAGTCAGTTATGAGGCAGTTAATAGTACATCATAAACATAATCTCCTATTATCCCGCCTTAGCCAGACCCCCCCCTCCCCCCCTCGCATAAGTGTTATCATCTATGGTTTATACACATACACACAATACACATGCTCTCATATGCAGGTTACACAAAGTGGATAGACACTATTCATTTGCTGTTGTCATTGCTTTAAAGTGGCAGTGCAATGACAACATAAGCCAAAAATAACATATAGGAACATGTAAGCACTCCTGAATCCATCACAACTAGAAAGATGGATAAATGAATACAGAAAATAGAAGAGTTAGAAGATGGGGCTGAGAGAACGGGAGGGAGAGAGAGAAAAGGAGAGGGGAAAAACATCCAGAAGGTCAGGATCAGCGGGTGGCCATCTAAGGGAGCGACATGGAGAGACTCCGATTGAGTTTCACCCGCCCCGTTACCGTGGAGATCCATCCAATAATACCACCCTATCCACAGCAGAATCACTATAATACACTACACCTACAACAGACTGACAAATAGTGCACTGGCTAAACTGAGACAGCCACAGCAGGCATTGATCAAATCTGAAGCAATATCTCGATAATGCTCCGTATGAATCCACGTATTTTGCTTCAACAGCACAAATGTTTTATCTTGGCCCAACCCTAAGACAGGTGTTCTTTTGAAATAATTAAAACTACCTATTTGTTGATTGTGGTTCAGCTAAACACTGTAGAACCATGTGGGAGTGTCAATGTGGTTACAATGTTTTTGGACTGCAGATAACTCAAGACCAAACCTATCCAAATTTTCAGGTCCCTGAAGTTCTGTAACACCTCCTGTTTAAATACAGACACAAGAAACAAATCTAAGAATCAAAACGGACACAAAGCCTTGAGACTTTTCAGAGTAGCTTGGCATAAAACGACAAGCTTTTTATCGGCACTGCTCTTACAAACCTACTGAAATGACTTTAACGAAATTAACCAGCAGTCACCTTCAGGTTTTCTCCACGTGGCCACTTATTTCATTAAGCAAGCAACAGTTGAGTGAAAAATATTTGATTTTGAGTCATTTTCTTCCCTTCTGAGTAAATGGGTAAATGACCATTCGCTGCAACCACTGTCTCCCTTGAAACGGCTTCTTCCTTAGATGAAGATGAATCATGAAATGTCATTTTTAAAAGTTTTCAAGCCATTCACTCGAAAAACAACTCGAAGTTGAAATGGCAAACAGATACTTGTATCCTTTAGATGCCATTTACACCGTTGTAAGTTCTTCCAGGCCACTTCCACAACTTTAGCAATTTTAAATGAATCTTCTCATGAACAATACACAATAAGACAATAATTAATGTAAAGTGTCTAGTCAATATTAGACCATCAGAGACCTAAAGAGAGTCAGACCGAAACCAGTTCCAGTTTAGACCAACTAAGACTCAGATCAAGAATAGGACATGAGGGCTATATTCTTACAAAGACCATATAATCAACCAATCAACTGAAACAGAAAAAACTTTGTACAGCTTAGGTAATGTCTGGGACTTTCCGCAACTAGTTTTTTTTTCAGTATGTGGTGATATACTGAAAGAGTATCAGGTCAGCTTCAGAAAATTATTGTAAACTTTAGGTCTAACTAAACATTATGGGAGCTATTTTCTGTTCATTTTATATGAGGTTTGCCATTTTTGCAACCATGATACCAAAACTCTGATATGTCATAATGCA